TTGTGCTTTCTGTTTTGATTAACCTACCAGTTCATACCTAACTTAAGCTCTTGTTGTCGGATATCAAAGATTTTTTCATGAGTGAATTCGCTTATGAATTAATAAGGAACATCAATAAATGATAAAAAAAATTTATAACGAAAACTGAAAATGATTACAATGTACTCGCGCCCTTTGAGTTTGTCATTGCGCCTTCAATGTGTGCGTCCTGTGAGTGGCATTGAAGCTATGCTTTCCACTGGAAGACAAAAGGTGCTACTCGAGACGAATGGTACAGAACAATAGGTACCTATAGCAAAAGGAACTTAACATCGTTCTTGGACAACGTGTTTTGTGGGAACTGCACATAGCTGCACAAATAATCAACTTAGAAAAATTTCTATATTAATACAAGGAGGAAGAAAACACATAGTATGTTTATATATATCAACTTCTCTTGTCCCCTTGCTTCAGGTTGTCCTCAAGCTGAAATTAATCTTAACTATAAATAGAATAAGATTTACATATGTATATTGGTCAAGGAGCAGTGTAACTTTCTCTTACTCCTGTATAAACATGTACGTGCAACATAAGTTAATTCAAACTAAGAATTAGTTGTACAGTAATACCCTTCAACATAGTTAACATAGTAGCTCGGCCACACAGAAAACTTTGACTAGACTACAGTCTACTAATTGAGTTCACTACCATCAACAATGCTAACACAAAACAATAAATAATAGTTATATTGCAATAAAAAAGTTAACATTGATGTCACTGCACAACAAAATAGGCCCTTTAAAAATGAAACATACTAAGTCAAAGAAATAAGTTCATAAAAACAAAATAAATCCTTTAACAAAGATAAATTATTGCAATTCAATATTTGTACATGAAAAACACCTTTAATAATAACAATTAGCAAACAATAAAAATATTAACCTTTAAACATAGGCATACGATAAGATAAAATAATTTCATATGATGATACTCACTTACAAATAATACAAAAGTCATAATGAAAGATACAAAAAAGAACAGTTTAATGAAGAAAAAATAAGATTTATAATGTTACACGTAATAACCATAATACATACCAAAACCACAGCTGTGACTTGACATAACATAACATAGAAAGCAAAATTAAATTTCAATCATTACTACATGAACCCTTCAGTAGTGTTTATCGTAAAGCATAAGATAAAATCATGAACTTACAGAAGCACAAATAACCCTTGAACAAACAAACTGTTACATGAGTATGAAAACACTAAATAATAATATACATAGGATCCTTCTAAAAGGAATAAAAACATAATATAGAACCAATGAAGATATTTACAATGTGCACATATATACAAAACAAGTACTTTTAGCTCTTTCCTCTTTATTGAAAGGCTGGATCGGATTATGCACATATTCAGCATTAGAGATTGCACTGCCTATCTCCGATATCTGTTCATTCCAGGCAGTGGCCAATCTGGAATGATTGAGGGAGTGGTCCATACCTTCCTCTGCTATACCCTTAAACGTTGGATGATAGTGTCATAAGCCTTTTCTACATAAGCGCTTGGCCAACACCAGGCTGAGATGTCCTAAAAGTTAAAGTACAACGTGGTAGGCATCCTCAATGGCCCCAATCCTTGGATGAGGGGTTGGTCCCTGATTCATGATGGCAAAAAAAGTACTTGTTCTTGGCATCTCATTTATTGGTTCTACTAGACCCCAGGATTCTCCAAGATTCATAGTACTCCCGATTCAGAGAGTTTTATCATCCTTACCATCAGATGCTTGCTATTTCACCTGTTGGTAAGATGGATTCTATTGGTGGACAACATCTGCCAACTGCACTTCCAGATTTTTTCAGCTATTCTCTACTGGGAGTCATATAAAGACCTTCCACTTAGTTTTAGACTCGTTAGGTGCCATACTACTACGATTACTCTCAGTTGTTTGTGTCTTTCTTACACTTGATTAACTGATCTGGATGCACCAGATATTAGCAGCTCTTCTTCCTTAATCATTGGTCGCAGTGACAGAAAAGTTATGGACCTTTGCAGCATCAGCAAAAGTCCTACATCCTTGTCCCGGCAATTCTTTTGGACAACCATCTCTTTCTCTTGTTCTTAACTTTGAACTGTGAACTGCAATAACGTATTTTGTGATCATAGCAACAAAATTTTCACCAACCTACATACTCTGGTATTTTCAAGTAAAACAGATTTTTCTAGGAGTGATAAGAGAGATCTGCTAAATAATAAGAGATTCGTCAAACATCTGTTGCAGAATAATCCAGTACTTCCTAGCTGAGTTTGTGAGAAATAAAGAGAGGTTGAACACAAGTGTACAAATAGACTAAACAAGCTTTATTTAAAACAAAAGCAGTGATAATATGTATTTTACTTTCCACAATGGGCAGTCGCCTATACTGGAGAGTTGGTTATGAGAATTCTCTAATCAAACAAGGAAGTTCCAAACTAGAAAGAATACTTTATATTGCTTGTAAGTTTGTGAAACTTTTGTTTATAAATTATTGTTTGTAATAACTATTTGTAATAATAGTTATTACAAACAAGTCTAACTCTGGTAATCTCCTGCTTCAAACCGAATAACTTACACATTACTTTCATATAAAGTCTTAATATCAGACTTACTCAAAGTGATTAGTGCTACTTATGTGACTGGCATTCTCAATGGAACACAACCTCAAGAGGTCACCTGACTACCAGAAAAAAAGAAAACTGTCTAACTTCACATTCTACAAGTAACTTTGCAACTATCTTTCATATGAAAATACAAAATGTACTACTTTAGGTAAATGGCACATAAGAATAGTAGAAGAGCAAAATAAGCTTAATGGTCTATTTGAACAACGTGTTATGTGGAACCTGTACAAATAACAAATTTCGAAAATCCCCATATTAAAAGAAGAAGGTAAAAACACATGGTATTCTTATATATACCACAGTAGACAGGACTGATGAAACTCTCAGATATCACGAGTACTATCTAATCAGTATCATATCATTAGAAATTAAAACCCATAATTAAAATATTCTTCTGTGTCAGTAACTAAACTTCACGAAGCTATTAAACCAAAAATAAAACCCATAATACAAATAGTCCAATAACGCTTATTTACACCACTTTAGCATTTCCATAACCCGGAAGTGATATTTCTGTAAGAATGCTGAAACAATGAAACATACCTTTTTGTACTATGTTTTGATTAATGCTTGCAAGGAGAGTAGGTTTTTCATGTTTTTCATTGTAGATCTTTACCAAACACTGCTACTTTGTTTTGTTTTTCTGAATGAGCTCAAGTAACAGGTGTAACAAGTCTTGTTGTCAAGAGGTAAGACAACATTAGGGAGAATGTTCCAGAGATGAAGTGTCATTTTTGTTTTAAGATAACGAAGATTTCTACAATTTTAAAGTTTTAAGTGTACCAAGTGGTGACTCATCGAAACGACGTTCTTATCCATGTTTCAAGTGTTCAATGGAGTAGACAGATCACGGTAGACCAAAGGGAATTAAAGAAATATACATGGCCAGTTGTTTGTGTCATGTGCTCTGTCACTACTAGTTCTGGGACAAATGGAAAAGGACCATAACGGCAGAGATTTTTACTACGTAGGCTGAATTGCAAATTGTCATACATTCTTCTTCTTCTTTAGATGGTGTGGTTATATAAGTTCTACGACATTTTCCTGCCATAGTAAATGACTACCGCGACATTTTACTACTGGCAAAGGGGTGCAGCAATTAATTATTTCATTTTTAAGGTTTTCTGCATGTATGGAAATTAAATTATCCGAGTATT